GCTAGAAGCAAGTGATTTGGTTAATTGAAAATCAAATTACATCTGAAAGAGGATCTTTAGTGAAGATTTGGGGACAAGATTTTAAGTCAAGTATACAAGATACACAAAACCCAATATTGAGGCATTCTGGAGATCGAGAATGAGGACGATTAGCAAAGCTGGAGAATTTCAGAGAAAGAAGACTTGAACAGGAATCGAGCAATATTGAATTCTTTTCTTCATCTTCTTCATGACTTCTTCTATTTCTTTATTTTGTTTAAACCAACTATGTCTGGCTAAGTTTCTTTTGTAGTTAGGTATATGGATCAAACGTGAACCTTGTTTGGTTTAAATTATTTCTTTAATAAATTGTGTCAATTTGTTTGTGTATTATCTTGGGATTATTTTTATACATTCTTGTATGACTCGATCAATCATATAGGGATAAAGAGGATTAGGGTTCACAATATGCATATTGGGATTTTAATCCTGACAGGGGTAAACACCAATTCTTGCATGATCTAGACATATGCTTATAGGAATTGCGAACTTTTGAAATTCATCGCGTTTAAGGTTTAATTTGAAAGGAATTACTAAGATATTAGGATTCTAATTGGATTAAAGGGTTAAAAGCACTAAGATATTAGGATTTAACCAACCAATTATTTAGAAGATAAATTATTTAAAATAATTGAGATAAAATATTATTGAAATTAATTTAAATTACTCAAGGAGGATCAAACATGGAGTATACCCTAGCTGCAGTTTCCGTTATTGATTTTAAATCTCGTTTTAATTTTATGTACTTTTGTCTGAAATTTACTTTCATTGCAATTGATTTTTAATTAATTTTCATAATTACCATTTCAAACCACTGTGATTTCTCCAAATTAAGGGGAATATTAAGAATAGTGATTGGTGCATTTAATCCTCATGAGAACGATAACTCTACTAATCTCTTTATTACTCTTACGACCGGTATACTTGTCGTGATCGCAACACAAACCTTTCTTGCAAATAGCACCTTATGAGAAATTATTTAACAAGCCACTAGATATATTACTACACCTACATGTTTTTTTATTGTTTATGTTCTCCTCAAGGGCCCGCAAATGTACCTTCCTTATTTACCAAGATGGGTGTTGTGCAATTTCGTAATCAAAATAATAGTCATACAAATATGCAAGTGCACGTGTCACACGTAATAAAGTGGATGCGTGAATCCAAGTATCGTTCCCATGGAGATTAAACAAAGCTACAACTCAATGTGAAGCAATAAGAGAACACAATGATTAACAACTAAACTATGATCTAAACTAATAACTAATGATTAAACTATGCAAACACAATTAAAAGATAAGTTTCAAGTATTCAAAAGATAGATTGAGATTAATTTTTCCAATATTGTAACTTCACCAGAATGTAGTAACAATGTTATAGCAATCCTCCATCAGTAACCAGAACACTCATGTATGTAGGGCTCTCACCAACATTATATGTATACTAGTTCCCATATCTCTATGGCTAAACATATTTATGAATCCATTAAGTGCAAGTTCCATGTGATTTTGTGTTGTGAATGATCTCTCTATCCACACTTAACTAATTTATTTAGTTAATTCCACAATACTTAATAACTTTCCAGATTCACCTATATCTCTATAGCTCAATATTAAGTTGTAAATCTCTTATCAATTTTATTTTTAATTATTTCTTTAATAATTGTGTCCTGGAAAATTTTATTTAAAATTTACGTTAACTTTTACGAGACAAACACACCGACTTCTTTTTCTCTCCATGCATTGCACGGGGTAATAAACTAGTATATATACAGGGGTTAACATTTCTCTAGTCACTTGGGATAAGCTTATCTCGAGCAACCCCTTTTAACTATGTATTCCCATAATACATAGTTATAACGTTAAAGTTGCGTTTTTTCTCTCCTCAGTCACTTTTCAGAACCTGTTGGCTGATGTGGAGAGAGGAAAAAAAGTAACTTTAACGTTATAACTATGTATTATCAGGAGTACATAGTTAAAAAGGGGTGGCTGGAGAAATTTTTTATATATATATATGGGGCAAGATATTCTTACATCAGGGTAAGAGTAATAAGTCTTACACCAAATCTTGATCACTGATTTGATTGCATCTAATGGCTCAAATAATTAATAAATCAAAACCGTTAGATATAAATAGGATCAACGATCAAGATTGAAAATGTAACTCACACTATTGTAAAATAATCCTAACTCAATATATATATTGGGTGTTACAACTTCTCTTTATATGCAAGGAGAAAAGAGTTACACTTAATTAGTAGGAGTTGACCAATTTTTTTTTTTTTTTTATGAAACATGTTTTTGTATTGATATTTTTTAAGTAAACCTTGTTTTGATTTTTAATAATGATAATCTATCTTTTTGTAATAAAAAAATTGCATCTAAGATAATTGAAAAAAAAAGAATATTCAAATTCTTGCATATTAAATTAGATTTGATTTGAAATGGTATTTAAGAAATTGTAAATTTTCTCAAATAACGGGAATATAACATACATAAAAAGAAAGTATCCTAGCAGGGAAAATAAAAACAAAAACAAAACAGTATTTGATATTATGAATCTAACCAATTTTAGGTAGAATATTTTGTACATGCCGAACTCTGGAATTTTTTTGAACAAAAAATAAAATAAAATAGAAATCCAATGCCCAAATAAAGTTATACCAACACTAAATAGTACATAGAATTAGAATGTAATAAAATGGGCTAAATCTTCACACCATGTTTCAAAAATTTTAAGAGATAAAAATATAGAAAAAAATAATAGAAAATAGTAATTAAGAAAGCACCTAAAGAAGTCAATTCTGATTTTGAGCTAGGCGAGGCAGGTTCAATGGAGATGAAAAAATGGAACTATAGCAGAAGTTAACATCATAAGATGAGCATAGCTAGCTAGCAATATCGTTTTTCTTAGGACAAAGATCTAGAAGATTATTTGTTGGAGGCTCCTCATTGGTCAGTGAGCATCCGCACCCCTTCCCCATGTTTTCATGCAACAAATCAGGATTTTTTGATTAAAAAACAATCATATGCTTCTTTCATTATTTTCCATTTTCTTCCTTATCTTATTTTCTCTTTCCTTCTTTTCATACACCTTTTTTTTTCCTTCTTAATGATGAATGAGTATTGATCGCTTTCTCAACCTTTATCTGTTTGCACAACTTTTTCTTCGCATGAAAGAAGAAACAAACACACACCAAGATCGAGTAGCTAGCATGCATTATATGACGGAAGAAGCCAAAGAAAGAACAACCACATAAAAGTGCGGTTAAGTTCCCCGCAAGCATAAAACCCCAATGAACGCTTTGCTTTGAATGGAAAGGAATATGGACTTCACATATTTTCCATTTAATCACAACAAAACCCCAAAAATCCAAACTCACACATCACATGAATGACGAAACCTTTCTTCTCTTCCAATAACAGATACCCTTCCCTTCACCCTTATCCCATTCCTCCGCCACCTCTATGGTGCTTGCTATGTACCCCACTATTCATTTATATATCTATCAATCTATCTCTCACCCCTTTTTACTCTTTTGCTTATAAATCCATCTGTCTTATCCCTTTGTTCTTCTCACATTCACATGTATTTCTAGTCTTGATCCCCTCCTATGATCTTATCCCTTTAGAGTACTCAATTATATATATGTTTCTGACACTTAAATGGGCAAAAGTGAAAGAAAGTGGACACCGATATATACGTATAGAAATAAAAGTATGAGAGTAGTTAGATAGCTTGAGGAAGGTATATTACGTAAACAAGACTGTATTTAAGGCCATGTGTACGAAACATGTATATTTTGCACAAATGTCAGAAAACAGGTTCAGAAAAAAAAAGAAAATTATTAGCACACCGTTTTACAGCTCAAAAACCTTTGGCATATGTAGCTAGACATGTGATGACTAGGTTTCTTTTGACAAAAGATTCAATCGGCAATCAAGAAACCTTTTGTTTTTAAACAGTTTCTAATTATTATTATGAGACTCTATGGTTTATGTCCTTTAATATTCTGGAAATGCACTCCCCGTACGCATCTTCTGCGCATGTTCAGGGAATTATTCATGTGCTTCATCAATTTTGATTAATCGGTGCTCTCTCAGATTTCAGTCTAGATATTCAGTACTCCACTTATATATATTAATTAAATTTAATTAAGTTTCATTGATGCGCTTATAAATATTTCATCAGTATTCATTTATAATATATAGTGTGCTATGAAAGAGGTATCTTAATACAGGCCATTGAATTTTTTTTTAAGTATATATACTAATACACTAATAAAATTTGTGATGGAAATCTACTATGAAAAAAAAAATTGTGCTAAACATAACATTTACAAATTTCAATTCACCACTAATTAGTTCATAAACAAATTTGATGTGATCAACCACCGAGCACTTAGATCAACTGGTAAGGGATTGTTCGAGTTCAAGTCCTTGGAATGCTTGTGTTAAAATTCGGTAAGGAAAGCTTTGTTTCCCATATGATTCTTACGTGACTCGAATCAGACAACTCAAGTAATTGATGGACCGATGGATTATTTATAAAAAAAATCAAAAATCAAAAAATTCGATGTGATCAAAAGCATCTTGTTTGCGGTGTACTTGAAATTTTCAAAGGAAACAATAGTCGTGCGCCTTGGTGGGAGGCACTAGCTAGGCAACGAGAACCTTTACATTCTCAAGTTTAAAAAAACACATGGAATTAATACTCCTCACTCTTGGTGGGATGTCACAAAGATATATTCCACAGCATAAAAAATATATAATGCAGAGAGAAGAATTGAATGGTTTAAAATGAGTCACAAATATAGATTAAATTTGTTGGAATATCTACCAGAACAAATAAATAGTAATTACTCCAAAGGATTCAACAAGATCTAAGTGACGAGTTGAGCTTAATTGGAATAGAGAAACTAAAAAAATTAAAAGAAAAGAATAAAACAAACCCACTAATATAACAAAAGAATATAGATGTACATGATTCATCAAGTCCTTCACCTCGAAATCTTCTATAAATAAAAAACTAACACTGAAAAGGCCCAGATATCATAATTCTATACAGTATATGTGTATCCAGGAACTTTCCTATGATAATCTAATAGTGTATCATGTTTATAACAATAAATCAGTATTTAAAAAAACCATAAAAATTAAACATGGGGTATGGTAATTAATTACTATGTATGATGCTTATGATCCCAAAATAAAAAAAAACCATGGATCGGCAAACTAGTTTTCTTTTTCATCATCATGATCATAATTTCAGTAGTTATCCCAGAGGCATTCCAAATCTGAAAGAGGTGCAACTGAAGATGGACCTTCAAGATCATCGTACAATGCCCTATTTCTTCCCATGTCTTGCTTTGAAATCACCGAGGATGTGTCGGTGTTTCTGTCGTTGCTAAGGCCTGTTTCTTGTGAATGGTTGGATGAGAACTGCTCCATCTTGCACTGTTTGTCCAAGTCTGATATGAACTCATTCTTGGCTGCAAATGCTCTTAGGATAGCTTGGTCATGATTGTTGCTCCCAAAACCTGTGACACTTGGCATGGAACTTTGCATCTTGTTTTGGTGCACAAAGTAATCAGAGATATTCATGTTTTGCTGAAAGGATGAGCTTGGATTTTGGATGAGATTGGATTGGTTGGAAGTGTAGTTGATGGTAGGAAGCTCATAGGTTCTGTGGTCTTCTGGCTTGATTAGTAGTTGGTGTTGATTGTTGATGGAGAAGCTGGGAAGATAATAACCATCTGATGTTGATTTAGTTGATGATAGTGAGTTTATTCCCTTGAAATCATCATCACCACTATAGCTTGCAGGCTTGTTGGTGATGTTGCTATAAGTAGGATCCATGAGAGGTGGGAGTGAAGAATAATCTAGAAGATCATCCCCAATAGAGTTCATCCTCATTAGGCCAGGAATTGGGGTCCTCTTAACATCTGTGACCTTGTGAAAAACCCTGGAGACAACCCATTCATCCTGCAATAATTTAAAAAAAAAAAGAAAAAAGAAAAAATAGCTGTTAGCTTCTTGACAATTAATAAAACAAAAGTTACATGATTAAAGGAACTAGATGAAAGAAACTCTCAAACTAACACAAAAAAGACACTTTCGAAAAAGTGAAAAATGGGGATTGATGAGAAATTCCATGATTAAAATCTCAATCTTTGATCCTCAAAGTCAAGATAAAAAAAAAAAAAGAAAGAGAGAAAAGAGGGGTTCATTTTTCACACCTTAGCAGCCTTAGGGAGATTGTAACTTGCAAATTTGCCTTCCAATCTGAATTCATGCATGACCCAATTGGTTTTCTCCCCCTTTGGAGCTCTCCCTCTATAGAACACAAGGGTCTTCTTCATACCAACAAGGTTACCTTTCCCTTTGTAAATTTCCTTATCTTTTCCTGTGGCCTTCCAATACCCTGATTCTGTAGCTCTATTGGTTCTCATACCCGTTGGATACTTCCTATCCTTTTGACAGAAGAAGTACCATTCTTTCTCCCCCATCTTGGCTTTCTCTGCAGAAGAATCATTTTTTTTTTTCACATGGCTAAGATTTATAAGAACATTAATTAATTCAAACCAATCAATAATTAGTCAAAATTACAAACAAACACAAAGATCATGAGAGAAACTTACTTGGTAAATCCCAAGGTTCACACCTATTCAAATCAGCTTCTCCAATAGCAGTTGCACTGAAACAACTATTCTTCACCTTCTCAGTCAGATAATAAGTGATGATCTCTTCATCAGTGGGGTGGAACCTGAAACCTGGAGGCAAATCAAGAGGCTCTTCACCTTTGTTCACCACAACCGGTTCTTCCATAAAGGACACCATAATCAAATATATAATATGCTTTTGAAATATATAAACAAGCTGAATATATTTCACACCAAACAAAAGAAGATAAAAGCAATAGGAAAGAGAGAGAGTGAAAGAAGAAGAAGAAGAAGAAGAATTGGAAATGAGCTTTTAAGAAAGTAGAACGAATGGAAGATGATGGGTTTAAATAGAGGGAGCGTTCACACACAACAACAGCTCATACGCTGTAAGATCCGTGGTGTGCAAGGTCCTTGCTGAGGAAGCTTACAATTGGTGTTTTTTTTTTTTTTTCTCTGTTTGTTTTTTTTCTTTCTTTGTTTTTGGTATACGTGTATTTTATTGGTATATGACGTATGTCCTATATAGGTGGCTTCTTCGTTATATCTGCCCCTTTGAAAATGAATGTGACAAGAGAAAATGGTAAAATTAAAAAAAGGAGCTTTCTATGCTTGTGGGACCCCAGTTTCTATAGGCTCCCCAACTTTTTCCTATTAAAAAAATAAATGAAATATAACAACTTTATCCGCTAGCTTCAACCTAACATTTGCATATTTTCATTGCCTGTTTCCATCGTCCATTCATCACCACCTCTCTAAACGGTCTCTTTTCAAACCAGGAAAAAAATAAAATAAATTGATCTCCTATATATGGGTTTTAAATTATTATTTTTCATCTATAATAATGTGTGCTATTGATAGCAGATGTGGCTAGTTATGCTACTTCTACTGTTGGTGGCTTAGTTAAATTTGATTTTCTTTCTTTTTTTTATTTTTTTTTTGTCTACAAACTCATGCAGCTTTAGGTGGGTGGTGGTTGTTTCAGTTGGTAGCTAAGTACACATTTGCTTCCTAACCTCATTGAAAAATTAGACCAAATAATATAGAGTGGTATCTACTGCCTCTATGATTAGCTAGCTGTTTATATATTTTAATATAAAATATATATAATTGAATGGGCTTTATTTCTCTCGTATAAAAGGAGAGAAGTTATTTTATGTTGCGAAACAAACAAAATAAAATTCATTAATTTATTATTTATTTTTTAAAAAAGACATATCTTTTTATGTGAGTGTAACACGAGAGATAAATCTCATGAAACATAAGAGTATAATTTTCCATGTTTGAATTTTTGGAAATGTGGGCACATTTCGCAATAGACGAATGCAGAGGTTAAAAAAGCACTCCTTGTTGGGGAGAATCCAAATGCTTTCACACCCATAAGTCAAGAGAAGAAGCAGTAATAAAGGATTATGAATTTTCCTAGAGCTTTCCAATTAATGTTCGATTTTCTGCAGGCAATGTAAGTAAGGTCTACCCTCTAAAATTTTGTTTATTTGTTTATTAGTAAATTATGACCTCTCCTTTCTTAATTAAATAAACTAAGCTTTACAACTGTTTTCCTACTATCCGTAAAATTAAATAATATATGTATATAGTTTCAATGAAAATAACATACCAAAGAGGATAAAATGTACATGTGTCAAAAAGAAGGTAAATACGCGAATATTTTCAAATTTATAAAAAAAAAGGTGTTGCAATATTTGCCCTTTTGATATCACAACTAGACTTAAATTAATATATAAATTTGAAGGTTGATATTATAAATCAAGGAGGGAATTAATGAATCTGTCTTACTCTCGAAGTTAGATTCAATATATGCTTTTTATAATTAAACACCGATAGCTGATTTTGTTGGTTTGGGAGAAAACAATATAAGTCATTATCACTGATAAATATTTAATTCACCACATGGTCTTGTACATATACTCATGAATAGGATGTACTAGCCACTCTGCAGCTTCCTTGAAATTTCTAAACCAAATTTTGAAGAAGATAAAATGAACAATGAATTAGGATGATATATTGAGCAAAAAATATGCCAACAAATGGCCATTCTAGTAGGCCTTCAGTACTAAATTAAGAAAAAAAAAATGTACCCTCAATATTAATATTAATAAATAGAGATTAAAACTCATAAAAGCCTCACTTTTAGAGGAAATTATGAAGGTGACTATGGCTAATTAATCATCTTTAACCATGGAAAAAGTCAACATGGTTACTGCTATAGTAAATTGCCTTTGGTGAGCTGTAGCTGCCGTCGTTATTTAATTATTAAAGTGGAAAAAGAAAGGCAAGAAAACCGAAAATAACGCGTCGCAATAACGAGTACCGAGGGTGAAAAGTGAAACATTCCGGCGCCGACATTGAAAACTAGGTTGTTTTTCGGTTAAGAGTACTGTTTCAATACAAGATCACTACCTCCTCTTTGTTTGTGTTGTTGAATATTGTTTTTGTTGCAGCTACATAGGAAGTTGCGTTTAATGCCATTTGTTTATGCAAGATCAACCAGAATAACTGACTACTCAGTCACACTAAGATTTATTAATGCATATATAATTCTATATAATAATAGAGTAATTTTTTTACATTCATACACTATTCGTTTTTTTTAATCCAGGTTCGTTAAAATTTACAGCCACGTGACACGTGTTGACATTATCAGATATGAATGTGGATGAGTTGGAAAATAATTTGCTACGATTTGACCAAACATATGTTAATGATTTTTAATTTAATTAATTATGTCTAAATCGAAAAAGGGTAGTGAAGTGCAAGAATTAAAATGGGTACGCGCCCTCTTATGTGTGGCTGTGGCGGATTCTGCCACATGCCCTCCGAATTTTGCGAGACAATATTCAAATCCCACCCCTTGATACGGAATAAATTCCGCTAAGCAATACTTTATATTATTCACTATTGAATTTGATTGGCTTTTCTACTTAGTACTATTGGTAATTAATTTTTCTTAATACAATAAAATTTGGAGAGAGAAAATAACCAAAACGTGTGGACCTGTTCTATGCTCTTAGCATGCTTTGTTGATTATTATATTGTTATTTAATGAAATAACAAAATAGAGGGGTTTTGGGAATTGGGATGGATGGTTTGGATTGGATTGGAATGGAAGCCTTTGAGAAACTCTTTTAATTTGCTCTTAAAACTGTTCGACTTTAGCGCAACGAAACTCAACCGCAAAAGCAAAGACGAAAGCATTGTCTAGAGTGCCCACAAACTCCAAGAAAGGTGACGTTTTATGACGGCAGAGAATGAAAAATCGTGGTATGCAAAGTAGCATAAGGGAGCATGTATAATGCTCCATTACACGCAATCATACAACCGTTGTCGTTATGGACATATTTCAACCGTCTGATTAGAGCTCGAAGCTCTTGATTATGGACTTTATCGTAATAAAGGATGCATCCAATCTTAGTTCTCTTATCCTTAAAATGATTATTATGATTAATGAATGGCATATGGTGTGGGCCAAAAAATGGTGGGGGTAAGGTAGCAGCAATTATTGGTGATATACTAACGTAAAGCGCAGCAATATCAGATTAGCAAAGTGGGGACCATTAATCCTCAAAAAAAATAAAAAAAATAAAATTTAACACTGTTTCATAGGTTGAGACAGTTGGCAGTCAATCAGACAAATTTGCTAGATAAAATGTTTCTCCTTTGGGAAAAGAAAAATAGCGGAAAAGATGACCAATAAAGCTTATTTTCTGCTAATCAATAGTCAATATCTCAATTTAAAACCTAATCTTACCTTTTTACAAATTCAATCAACAATAAAATAATAGCATAGACAAAGTAAATTAAAAGTGTAAACTTTTTGTGAATGACCCAATAGTCCAAATGAAATAAAGCGTTGTATATTATTGTGTTTACATTATCACCTTCTCCCATCTTAGTTAATCTGCATCCATGTCAATTTAGCTAGAGAGAGATATAAAACAGTTTCTCCAAAGTCTAAATTATCTCATTAATTAGCATTTAAATGAGAGAGAAATCCTCCAAGTTTTAATAAAACAGTTTCTCTAAAGTCCAAATTGTCTCCTTAGCATTTTTTTTTTTATACTTTTGGGATACCTTAGCATTTAATTATTTAATCAACATGACAATAGCAAACTAAAATTCAATCTTTTTTTTTTTTTTTGTATACCTAAAATTCAAACTTTAAACAAAGACTAATACCAAATTACGAACCTCCGCCTAATTGGTGGTTACACCTGCAAATCCCTCTTTATCACTTTATAATAAGCTATAAAGTACAAAACTGAATATCATTCTCAGTTTAATTCATTATAGTTACGGAACTTATGGATAATACAAATATAATTACAGTATCGTATTTTAATGGATTGAAGTATAGAAAAGTACCATGCCTGCATCAAGAGTACGTATATACCTGTGTCATTCATATCTATCTGTGCGTGAGTAGGTTTAAATCCAGCTTATTATTATTATTGTTATTATTACTATAGTATTTTGTTCACGATGAAAAAGTCTCATTCACACTTATATATGACCAAATCATGTTGATATCGACTAAAGAAGAGATAAGATGTAACATATGGAAATTGCTTTTGTTATTTCTTATACGAAGGAATCATCTTTCAAGTCAGTTAATTAATATTAAAGTATCTGACAAATTTCATCATCTTTAAAGTTATGAACCGGAGTTTAGGTGTATCAGTAGGCCCGTAATTAAGGAAGTGTGTAGCCCATAGTTATCACTAAACCTCCGAGTAATTCAAACTTCAAAGATTCTTTTTCCTTTATTTCTGAAAATGCAAGAAATAAGGGAGTGCGGGATACGTGAATGTAGCTTCTTTGATACAAAATCAAATAGTTTTGTATTCAGTATTCCTAGATACCAAGGAATATCCATAACAAAGTCGAAAGAAGGATTCATTATTAATCATGAGCCGATTAATAGAAGCATCTGTGTCAGGCCAAATAAAAGTGAACGCATGAAATTTGGACACGTCATGTCTGTTCTTGAAATTAAGGGTTAAATCATATTTGAGTGTTAGTCCTCTTGAGCATAGGTAACAAAACCGTGTAATAATCATTAATAAGCGAATGAAGACACAAACATGATGACAGTTTTGATTGAATAATATAGCAAATTTTAGATGGCATAACTATCAGCATCAAGATCAGCAAAGCCTAGGCCCTTCCCCCTCCTATCCAAATAATAACAATAATAGTAAAACTTTTTTTAGTTCCTCAACAAATTTCACGATACCCGCTTTAGTTCCTAGCAAATA